CCGGAGCAAGCGAGGGCACGTCACACTGAACAAGATGCAATTAGTTGATAACGAACTCTAACGACGGTTGGGAACGCACACGCACAACGCTATCTTCTCCGTATCACAGCCGGGCTGCTGTGGGACTGCAGTTTTGGGGGATTAAATGAAAATAGTCACAAATAGCTAAACAGAAGATTGGTTGTAGTGGCTATGAAGTTGTCAGGTAAAACGTTACGGTTTCTTCACACAGTCTACTGGCGATGCTATCTGAACTCCTGAGCTGACATTTTGATGAATGGTTGTTTTGAAGTGCGTGTTCGTTGAAAGTTCGCAATGTAACACGATTTAATTTAGAGAGGGGGACACTGGGCGAGGCCATCTAGAGTGATAGCTTTCGTAATCGATTTCTCGAAATTTCTCGGAGCGACATCGAAACGACGAGCGTCTCCAAAGGGTGAATTATGTGTGGCCACCCGATTTGTAACCATATCTATCATCACTGTCATCATTTGGCATCCATCATATTCAAGAATCGCCTTTTCATACACAGTATCTCTTCTCAATGTATGAATGATGCCATTGAGGAATTCAAAATGTTGACTCTGGAACACATTAGACATGTTGCACGGGGACAACTTTCTATAAGATCGCTGTTAAAACGATTTTTTAAAATTTCCCTCTGAATATATATGCCTTTGGGGGTTTTATATTGTATGTACCCCGTCTGGTTTTACTTTCTTGCTCTTAACATTCCGGAGAAAGTTGATGTTACTGTCAGCCTGATCACCATTCCCTAAGACGCAGAAATATGTGTGGGATGGAGCTGTGGTCGAGTAGATGAAGCAGAGGATTTCGCTAAGGTGAAGGTTGGTTTCACTTATTCTCCATCATCCGTGGGACTTAGCCTGTGAAAGCAAGCCGTTTGGATTTTCAAAATAGATGCATTCTTGTGTGTAGGGCGCGGGATACTTCGTGTAAATCTCCAAAAAGTCTGACTATTCGACAATTCGTGCTTTCATTTTTATGGAGGTATTGTTTTGGATCGGTTGATTCTTTGGGTTTGTGTGTACGTTTGCAGGGAGAGTTGGTGGGTTGCAGGGAGAGTGGGTGGGTATTTGGTTACTTGATTGACAGGGAGGTCAAGCCTGGAGGTGACTCATCAGCACGCACCGTGTTGGAGTAACTGGGCAGTACATGGAGGAATTCAGTACGTGGTTGACTGTGTGGTAACACCTGTGTAAACTTTACAGCCGGAAAGCCACGTACTGAATCGAACGCTTTTCGAACGAGTTTTCTTTGCAGAGCGTATCACTCCGCCGTCCATAGCAACGCCGTTGCTAAGGACAACATTTTCGCGGGCGGCGGGCTGAAATTTCATCCGAGTTGTTGACAGCCGATTACATCACCAGTTTCGGCCTCTGCGTCAAGATGGCGGTACGTATCAGACGTGTATATCGTGGGCTCTCCGTAGTATTCACATTTGAGGGGTATTCTATCAGTTTTAGTGTAGTTTTGTGATTAAACTTGGTGCACAGTGAAATGAACAAAATGGCCGCCCTGGACTGATCTGAATTTTCGTCTTATTTGAATTTGGGGGGAAACCCGTTTCGCACTCGATTTTGCATATGACGATATGTGGATAAAATGTGTTGAACCTTTGGCTTTCTCCCATTATGAATATCCTGTTGGTGCGAAATCTGGATAGGTTTGCAATTTAATGCCAACTAGGGTCCCTTTTTTGGCCAATTTTATGGCTAAAACTCATAGTTTGTCGTTTGATTTCATTTCGGACATTGTTGAATAATTTGCGTATATGTGCTTCATTTCTTGTAAACATCATGTTCGTGGTAAAATCATTTTCGATTAACTAATCTAGTCTAAGTTTAGACCCAGACTCTTAGTCGTTAGATCTTTACAAGGACAGATTCAATTGTAAATTTTGAAGTAAACGTTGTAGTTGAGTCTGATGGATCACGAAATTCGTAAAAAAATTAATCCCTTCTGTGTGTGTTTGTGCAAAAAATTCCCGCCAACTTTATCACGTGATGTCTGGTTGTCATACAAGAACAACAAAGCTGCATGACTGCTGCAAATTGTTACAATGTCTTGTCATAGTGTCTAAAGTTACAGCATGCATGTACTACCATATCTAGTGATTGATGATAAAAACAGTGCACAATATACATGTTTAGGCAGCTTGTGACATTTGTAGAAATTATAATAAATGGTTCAGCATGTATATCATTGATTATTGAAATAAAGCTAACGTTCATTTTAGTATTGGATTGAGAAAAATGTGTGAAGGGGATTCTTTTATTTCTGTTTCAGATCATCATAGGCTTCACAGACTAGATTGGTGAGTATCTGGCAAACCAAGGAGGTTTAAAATGTTTAAACCACCTTTGGCAAACCATGTCACCCTCTCCTGGCATTTTTAGAAAATTATTACTAAAATTTAAAGAAGGACAAGGACAAAGTGGGACTGTGCTCAAGTTACAGTCACATTAACAGCCCCACTTGACACTTAACACTAAACAAGTACAACCAATACAAATATATAACTGAGAATAAAATTGAAAACAAAAGTGTGCACTAACGTTATATGTTAAGAAAATTTCAGGAAGACCCTGGCCCCCAAAATTTACCTCAAGTAGCATTGCACCAGGTTTCTTGTAAGGTTGGAGAACTGTTTTTTGAAAGTAAACCAATACGTCTTGTGGATGATCTTTATGTAGAAATGTTAAGTTCAAGAAAGGATTTGAATGTAAAAGTCAACGTGATGTACTGATTATGACACATTCTACTGTGGTTGGACTCTTAAATGATTTAGTAAACTTTAGTTTGGTTCACATAAGTTCTAACACCAAACATAGTTTAATGTTATACTATAGATATTGTGATATTATAGAATCACTTCATTGGCAAGAGGTAACTCTAAAAAATATGATCAAGAGATGAAGAGATCAAGTCTATTCAGTCTTGTTTTGCTTCTATGCTAAAAGATTTAAAGGATAGTATTAATTCTGGCCCCTGGTCTTTCTTTTTTATATATGAATACTGTGATTCATTAAGAATCCTCCAAATTTATTGATAAATTCCAACCTTCTTGCATGAAATTGTTAACCTGCATAAAACTGTAACCTCCCTGCATAAACCTGTTCCACATTTCTAAAGAAACAAATCCTGTTTGGAATTTTATTGTTGTGTTAACTATGCAAAAGTCTGAAATTTCTTTTTCTGATTTTGAATCTTTGGACATTACTTTGTCTTTCTTAAGGATGAGACAAGCCATAGTAGCTCTAAGTTTCTGAGGTGACTTTTCACTACTTCCCTTATTTTCTTTATTGTCTCTGAACTCCACTGTAGTTATCCTTTTCATATGACAAAATCTGAGTTGATTTATTCCTATAGCCAATGTACTGATTTAATGTTACTTGAAGTCCCCGTGGGTGGAATGGGACTTCTATACAAGCCGTACAGTCCAAATCTAAATTACTTATTTCTTCTATGCCAACTTCAACATTTGATTCTGAATGTTCTAATTTACTCCATATTGATCAAAATCAGGAAATTCATGATGATTCTGATTCAGAAAAGACTTTTTTGATAGTGAGGATCAGGATGTTAATTTCATACCAGTAGATGACATTTACATAGGCAGCTTGTCTGCATTAAATAACATTTCAAATTCAAAACTCTCTGATGTTGATTTATTGTGTGAATTGGGTTTGGTGTCGTATCTTACTTACATTTTTTTAATTCTTCCACCTTGCAGGTAAAAGCCACACCCAGTGGGATTGTCACCAGCAGGACACCAGGATGTTATATTGTATATTTAGCTTGAGATTATGGATATATATAAGATGTATTATGTATTGAGATCTTAATTTCCATCTATTCTGTTTATTGTAATCTTAATACAATTTGGGATCATATTTAATAGTCGATTCAGCATTCAATGTCTACTGTAACTTTTGAGCATGTGTTAAGTAATATATGTACTGTATGAGATGTACTATGTATACATGTAATGATCCCAAGTATTTGATATCCCAGTCCACAACAAAATGTACTACTTTGTTTTTTTGTTTGGTAATGAGATAAAGGTTGAAGCAACGTTAATGGCTCTTGGGTAATTTTGTGTATAATTGTTAGGATGTATGTGAGAGAGTTATGTTTAGGGATTTGACAACACCCAGCACTTTTAGAAATATGCAAATGCTTTTGTGTAAAACTAGGGACATGAGGACCTGTTATCTTATTATAGTAAGCAGTACACATGGACTATACAAGATAACAGATCCAGGATAAACTTACCCATAATCACAGCATGCATGTTGCACTGTCCTGACTTGGTACCAGAAGCGTTGGCTTATGTCCATAGGCTACTTTTTTACTGAGCCAGCAGGTCGATAAATGTAACTTTTCTTAAGTAACTATTCAAACCCAGCGCCATTCAAATCGAGAAAAACGGATACAATAATTATTCTTTGAATTCTCCCCAATCATGAATCAATGTTTGAGGTATTCTAGTTCTAATGGTCCGCTTGCTCTAATTAGATGTGCGTTTTTCAAAGGTCAGGAAGCTACGAGAGTATAATGTTTCCTCGCGTTTAGGCAGACGCTGGTTTCGAGTTTCAGACAGGCCGTATCTATCAAGGGACCACAAACATATATTCTGCGTGCAAAATAAAAGAACCTGTTTAGATATAAGATGAATTAACAGCCAGTGTAGTCTAACTAAAAGTAGTTTAGACGTAGGTCGACTATAATTTAAATCTAGCGATGTATTGTCACGCATATGGCATGTAGGAGAGGAGCGCGCTCCGTAGAACACACGTAGCTCGCGGCGCCAGGGATGCGCGTTCTATTTGGGGAAAAATTCTGCTTTTTCCCGTAACATGGCCTCACGGAATTTCGGGGGAAACCCGTTTCGGCCTCGAAATCAAATATAAGTCAAGCACCATCAGAAAGTTTACGATTTGCTCTTTCTAATCCAACAAATTTCCTGCTGGTGCAAAAATCTGCATCAAGGCGAAAATACACAAGGAAATTGCACTAAAATTGCCTGCCTGCTCCCGTGACATGGCCTCACCGAATTAGGGGGGAAACCCGTTTCGCATTCGAAATCGTCTATAAGTCAAATACCATCAGAAAGATTAAGACTTGCTCTTTCTCACCCAACAAATTTCCTGTTGGTGCGAAATCTGCATCAAGGTGAAAATACACGGGAAAAATGCACTAAAATTGCCTAATTTTAGGTCATGATATCAAAAAGAGAAAGGTACATTCTCGGCTCAAAAATTCATGGGGAGCAAATAAAGAAGTCTAGATATTATGAATAAGTTACAATAAGGAAGTTATTTGATTGTATAATCTAGCGGTAAGCTTTCTTGTGAGGCGTGTCGACGCCCGGAGCCGTGGAACGGACTACTTTCTCTCGCGGAAGGAAAAGAGAAACGCATAGAACTCTCGACGTGGCTTTCCGGCTGTTTAATCACGTCCACAGTACCCAATATAATACAGTCTCGAAAACCCAAACCCTTCCCGTAGGTCTGGAATCTCCTACGTTTAATTCTCAAGTTTCATTTGCAAATAAACCCAAAGTAGAAGAGTGGATGTGCCTTACCTTTAGAACATTGAGAAGCTCAGTGGTGCAGATGTAGCCGTTCCCATCCAGGTCGTACATACTGAAGGCCCATTTCAACTTCTCCACCGTGGTA